ATATTAAACACTTATACTTGTAACTCTAAGTCTTTGTCATAATCCTCTGCGTTAAAATTTAAAATCGCAGAAAAATGACGAACTACGGGAAATGGTGGTTTTTCCTTATGTAACAATGAACGGAAAGCATGTCTTTCGGCACGACTCCGCCACAAAGCTTGTATTTTTATAATTTTTTCTTCCTAAAAAGTATAATATATTAAATAAACTAATTCGACTCTCAATGCATCATATATAAAGTTGTAACAAAAAAGAAATGGATCATTTACATGTTTTCTATAATAATCCAATATGTTTGCATATTTAGTTTCCACTTTCAAAGACGTATTTTGAGATTTTTCTTCATTATATTTTTTTTTATCTTCTAGTAATTTCATATATTGTTTACGCTGTACTATACTTCTCCACCAAGCTTGGATTCGAATAATTTTATCTACATTATTATAAAAATATGTAAACCTATTAGAAAGTTTTTTTCTCAATAAATATCCACGGGCATAAGCTTGGAACCAGATTATCTGATTATTTATTTTACACTTTTTGTGTTTTCTTGATGTAATGCTTTTTATTAATTCCTGGAAATAACGAACAGATATACCTTTTAACATTTTTTTGATTTAAATGGCTTAAATCTTTTAGTTGTACAATACTTTTATGTCTTCCATATCAATATGAAATGTTTCCGTCATATTTTTTGGACGATCCCAAGTATAATTGTAGTTCTTTAAATCTAAATAGGATTCATTATTTTTATGAGTAACATAACGAACAAGTTCGCAATTGTACTTTTCACTCTGAAATATGGAAGAAAATTATTAAATTACATTCTGCATTAAATATATAGTTTACTATACAATTATACCTTCATATTTTTTAAATCGTATAAGGTTTTATAACAATTTGCTTTATATTCCTCTGGTATTTTAATACCAAATTTTTGAAGGCATTGAAGTATAAATGACATATCATTTTGCTTTAATCCAATATTAATGTTTGATAAAAATTTACAGACTGCAAAAAAAACGAAAAATATTATTAAAGCACTATAAGCATAATAATAAATAAATAACATATGCATGCATTGTACCATTTTTAACATTTGAAGATTCTGTATTAACAACTTTTGTTACATTTTCTACATCTTCTAGCCACAATTCAGAACCATCAATATGTTTTTCTTCGAGGCATTTTTTAAATAATTTCAAATAAAGAGATACATCTTCTGGTGAAACAGAAGTTTGTAATTTTAAAACAGAATTTTTTAAAGCAGCTATAATACCATTTCGGTCATTTTCTACGACAGCAGAGTTTAATTGACGTAGAACTTGTATTACTGTCAAGACATTAAAAAATTAAAAATATTGTATAATTTACATAGATGTACACAGTTTACACAAAATATACCTTCATCATCAATTTGGCACTGTTGATTGACAGCATCAATGCAGTCTTGAATATCGATATATGTTAATAAAGGACATTCTTCATCAGCTGCCTGCTTTTTACATCGAACTGCTGCTAATGCTCTATAATACTTTACTTTATTTCCTTGATCTAATTCCTAAGATATGATATGTATATATATATATGTATATGTACACAAAAATAATTACTCATTACAGTTATAATTATAAAAATATAAACTCACAGAAACATGGCAATCTGGATTTGTCAATGCTTGATAAACTAAATCTGGATTTCCCGTGTCTACAGCTTTACTAATTTCTGCAATCGTTGATAAAACACGCGTACTGGCTACAATATCGCTATATGAAAGGTCGTTCTATTAAGAATATTATTTTTATTAATACAAATTTTTTACATTATTTTATATCTTATATATTCTATTTTTACCTGAGATTCAATACGATCAATTTTCATCTCTTCATAATATAACGGTAATGCAAAATCATCAATTTTTTCTCTCAATCCTAAATCAGGTTTTTTTAGAACTTCATAGAAATCATCTCGTACACCATTTTGTAATATTAGATTTAAAAGCTTTAGACAATCCTCACCTACGTTAAGAAAAATATTTGGAATAACAATTACATTTAATAAGATAATCTTTGTTATGCAATACTAACGTTTCCGAGATTTAAGTGCGGTTTCATTTGCTTTATCAATTTCCTTCTGAAATAGTTGCTTCCAATGATGATAATTGCTTTCTGAATATATATTGTTCCACTCAGAGCTTTCTAATAATTGCATTAGTTGTTCTTTATACAATTGTGCGTTCTCGTGAATGATATTCTGAAAAAAATAAAATAATACTGATAATAGAAGAATTATAAACGAATATATTAATAAGAATGTCAAGGTAAAACATACTTTTAAACACAATGTAGACGTCTTTAATATATCCATAAAATCATTACTTTTACAACGAATAGACTGAATTATATTTTTCATAGTACACTGAACTAAAAAAGATGTGCATAGTTAGAAAGAGAAACATAATTCAAAAAATAATAATTAGAAAATAATAATTCTCATTACAACTTACCATTAACACAGTTAATATGACCTTGAATTTCTGCTTGAGTTAATAATTCATCATATACATCTGGTACATAAGTATCATTAAGAGACTGTTAAAATTATATTATTAATACTTATTAGAAATATAACTAAAGAAATTATGATTAGGAGAATCATTGCTTACTCTATTAAGCATAGCTTGTGCTTTAGATTCCTTTGCTTCAAACAAAGCATCAGTGTATTCCTTACAGTAGCAAGGCATAATATTGTTCAACTGCACTACTTTATTTTGAAGAGCAGTTAATATTTTCTCATTATTCTTAAAATGAAATATTCATTCATTAATTATTCAAATTGTTACTTAAAGTACTTTATAAATAAAAGTGACATCCATACTTTTTCTGTAATAGATTGATTGACTGCTATTACTGCAGCATGAAGTGTTGCTGCATCAATCTCCATATTATTTGCTAATAAGCCGCCAATTTTTTGGAAGGAAGGCATTTGAATTCCATATTTCTTTAATTCCTTACTAACAGCATTTATTTCTTCCTCTAGAAAGAATGAAATGGTAACAAAATAACATGATCAATGGATTTTTTCACAGTATAGTAGAATCACACAAGTACCAGTAAAATTCACTTTTCCATATAAGTCTTGAATTTGTGGAGCTTTGCCCAGTTTAAACAAATGAGTACTCAGAGCATGAATACAATATATTGCACGAGGCATATTTTTTTTATCGTAGATATCTGTTGTTTCTGGCTGAAAAGTCTATTAAAAAATTATTCTTATTATTTTAGGTAAATATAATTATAAATAATAATTTAATCTTATGTAAAAAAAACATGTACTAGTGGTAACTGCATGGATTTTAAGCACTTTAAAAAGTGGTTAATATTATCTGTATGTTTAAACTGTAAACCAACTGCTGCATAGCGCTTTTGTTCAGAGTCATATATTTTATGAACAGACAAGGATTCAGGTGCCATAAAATGGGCAACTTTTGCTAAATACACTCCGTTTCTTAAATTCTCTTCTAATTCAGTCGTTGGTGGTAAAGTTTCTCTAAGACATGCTTCCATCCACCTATTAAATAAGGAATATTTAGTCATTCTTAAGTAAGCAGAATAATAACAATTTATTAAAAACTTGGCAACATATTTACTTCTTGGCTTCCTCTAAATGACAGAGGTATTCATAAGCAACTGTTTTATGACGTTGTTCATCCATTTCATCTGCCGATTTACGGATATCCGTTCCTGCAAAACTTTATCTTCTAAATAAAGAATCAAAATCTAGGTATGTATTCCATAACAATATTACTACAACATTCAATTTCATGTTGCAACTTTCGATTTGACATTTACATGATATAGGGTACAAAGAGAAAATTAAATGTCCACACTGATCATTAATTTTACCTCTTTCATGATTACTTAATTTATCGTCGATATCACTCATATCAAAAGATAAGAAAATGCAATTAACATACAAAAAGTGAGAATGACACACAATAGTTGGAGTACGTTAAATTCTACAAATTCAAACTTGTTCAAAACTACAAGAATGGTGCAACACTGACAAATCGTACCAACTGTAGCGTTGTGTATCTCTAATACACCGTCCAATACTATTGGACAATCTTGTATGAGAAAGGACTATTGTCTACTAACTTCGTACCTCTCATAATTCAATTCAATTCGATTCGATTCGATTCGATTCGATTTAAGTGAATAGACGTAAAACATAAATAATAAATGATTGTTCTTAACTTATTAAACACCAAATAAAATAACTAAATAACAAAGAAAAATTCAATTTCAATTTTATATATAGACTTTAAGATCCAAAGTATCAAAAATCAGTTAAACTAATCACTTAAGAATTGAAACTAAAAGGAAAAGTTTCTTGAACGTGAACAGGAATTACTCCTAACTATAATTACTTATATTATATGTGATTAAAGGAAATAAACGATATAAAACGTAATTACAAATAAATTTTATTTAATACTACCAGTAGTTCCAAGTTTCACTATCTTCTTATTTTTATCTTCTTTACTTTTGTCATTTCTTACATAAACTTAACACATACATGTTAAACCAGCATTTGCACTCCACCAAAAAAAGAAAATAAGTTTTCACGTCAATTATTCATTTACAGTTCAAAAAATCATAGATTCATAAAATCTAATGAAATTAATAATCGATTTAGAAGATATAAAATATGTATTTATTACTAGAACCTTGAAATATTTTTATCTTTTTCTCAGGATTTTTGCGGATAATTTCATATAGCACTTAGCTTTCTGAAAAGCCAAAGTTTGTTAACGTACATTTGCATGCGTTGCTTCATTAATGAAACGCACATATTGTGTATACGTTAATATACAGATATTGTCGAAGTAGTGTATGTAGAAGCTAAGGAGGAAACAACGCAAGAATAAGGGAGGGGGCAAGGGGGGTCAGATAAAGCAGTTGACCCTCGCCCCTTCAATGACCCGAGAGATATCGTTCACTAAATTCATTGACGCATCTCAGTCGAGTGCGTGGCCTCTTCTACTATACATCATACTGATCGGTACTTTTCGTCATGGTCGTTCATTTCGATCGTATGTCAAAACCGGAAATGCATCTTCCAAAATTATTTCTTCTTTTTTCCTTTTTTATCGCAATAGGCCAATGTGATGTTCAAAATTCTATTGGTAAGTGATTTTATATTTTACGAAACAGAAGTTTTCACTTGTTTTATAACTATGAGATAAATCGATTGTTAATCTATGATTTATAATTATGATCTTTATTACGCGCAGTATTAGTAGGATCGATGAAATCTCCTAGTATACCGAATCGTAATCATCATTGTTCATATTATTTAACTCAATCTTCGAGTGATAACGCTTTCTAGGAAAAGATGATACCACAGCACAAATAGCGCTTGGCGAGAAGCGACTCGAGGATCATATTCGCGCGATTGTAAAGCACTATCAGCAAGAAGATCCGATAGGTCTACCTGGTGTGCCTATACCCGATCCCTTGCCAGTACCGGATATGAAGCATTCGTTTTCTATGTATACTATGAACTTCAAACAAATGAATGTTTACGATTTATCAAAATTCCGGATAGTAAACATGGAATCAGAACTGGCTTTGATGCAAGTGAGATTTTTTCCAAGCTTATTTAGATATATACATATATATATATATATGTATATATATGTATTCGATGCAAAAGTCGTAAACATGCGAACTACTTGTAACACCGCCGATAATGCAGCTCAATGTAATCGACGATGAATTCACAAATTTTACAGTATCTTGAAAACGAAAGCTTTGGAAGTCTGAAGCGGAAATTTATTTCAGTGCCGACTAGCGGCCAATAAATGACAACATTAGTCTATAACATTCGTTATTTAAAGAACAATTATCTATGCGTCGACTCTTCTTTAAAAAGATATCCATCGCTTCGTCTAAGAACGTCTGTCATTACGAAAAAAATACATGCTAATTATACGACTGTAATGTAAAACGTTTCGCATCGGTGACTAATTACAGATACGTCGCGTCGCATGATCGAGCCATCCTAGAATCTTTGCTAAATTGGTTCACACGAATATTATAGAACGAATAAAAAATAATTGCATGGTTACAACTACATCGAATCTAAAAAAAAAACGCATTAATATCGATTTTCATCTTGATATGCTTTCAAAAGATTTCAGTGACTTTAAATATGAAAAACCTGAACATTCGTGGATTCTATACTCTCTCTTCTTGGCTATCACGATCGGCTGGTAATTTTACTGTGAAATTGTCGGGAGTGTACGTGAAAGGACTTGGCAGGCTGGAAGTGGCCAGCGATGGTAAACTGCAAGCACAAAACATCGATTTGGATTTGACATTTGAAAAGATAGACATGGATTTCAAGAATTTGGGCTTCCTGGGCTCTGTGTTTCAAAGCATGATCAATTCTGTAGGCACCTTTATTTTCGACAGTATTAAACCTTTCATATTGAAGGAAATAAATACGAAAGCTAGGTAAAGATTATCTAATTTGACATTGTTATGTACTACAGATAAAAACGGTTACAAAATTTTCAAATATTTTAGGGGCGAGGCTAACAAACAAATCTCACAATTGCCGCAGCAATTCCCGAATTCTATATCGCCCTTCGATATGTTAATAACCGAGATCCGCAGACAAATATCTGAAAAAGGCTACGATCCGTTCAAGGTGAAGGATTATAGCCAGACCGTCGGTATATTCACAGTGATGTCGACTCATACTTGGATCACTGGCCTGGGAAGCGTTTACCGAATGGGAAACGTTACTTTAAGCATACAGAACAAAACAGTAAATAATTTGCTTTAATAATTTCCAAAACAGTTTAGTTTTCAAACTTTTTCTATCGCAGCTGCGTTGGGATTGAATAACGCGACACGAACGATACCTGTTGATATATTATGTAAACACAACACAATGTGTCTATTTATTAGCGTGATTACATCAGTTATTACGTCGTACATCGTAAATCGTAAACAGGCTTTGCTAATTAATTTCATTTACGATCCGTAATTATCTCGGTTCTGCTGTAATCTAATTTGTAGGCGTTGGTGCATCTCTAATAAGTATTGTTTGCTTGCTTCCATTTAAAGGTGTATGCAACAATCGATGCTGGTACCCAAGAAATTGAAGGAAAGACTCATTGGGAAATAAGCGTGATTGGTGGTGTTTTATCAAGAGCTGGTATAGTTACCTTTACTATACAATATTTCAGGGCTCAAGTAAAATTAAGCCAGCCCCTGGACACTCGGCAAAAGCCGAACATGGAAGGTCTTGATCTTGAATTGGGTAATATTCAAGCAAGAGTGCATGGAGCTGGTACCGTCGATTACTTAATCGAAGCAAGCATTAATATATTACCAAACCTTTTAAGGTTCGATCTCGATGTTTATCCACTTCTATGTATACGATTAGCGTGTTTGTCCATCGATTCATAATGCTATTCAGAAAGGAATAATCTTTTTATAGGTATCAGATAATGGATGCAATAGAAGGACCACTTAAAAGACGTATTCAAATTGAACTAGACAAAGTGGACGTCGAAAAAGAGATTTACGAACATATTCCACATATAGAGGAACATGCTACTAGACATATTCATGGTTTGGTTCCTCCGGAAGAGACGATTTTAGAAGGGTTAATGCCGCCTCAGGATCAAGATGAACAACCATTTTCAGAGAGTGAAGAAAATCGAGGTCCTTCGTAAAAATTGAACTTATTATAAAGTACATAAATAATAAAGTACATTACGCGGTATTTAAATTATTTAAATTTGAAGATACAATTTTTTAACGCCATCAAAGTTACAAAAAAGATCTGTTTACTGACAGAGGTCGTGATAAATACACTGCGCAATACACTGTGTGCTTTGTAAATATTTTTGTTCTATTAAAACATAGTATTAAAATATATTATTGTTATAGATTAATGATAAAGAATCTTCTCATTTCAATATTTAACGTTTATTTACTGAAAAAAACTTTTATTAAGGATACAATAGTGTACACAAGTGTATATTAAACTATAGTTACAAATATAATGTCCATAACAAATTTTTGGCAGGACATTGTACAATTAAATTTCGTAATATTGAATCATATAGAATATAGATATTATTAATTAAATTGCGTAATAATGCGGTTAAATTACCAGTTAAACATATCGGTATAATGGTGCCGTCATATAGAAATTCAATTCATGATATTTATTTTGATCCTTTTTTTCATAGTATTTCATACATATTCATAGATTCTATGTCCACGGTTCCTGTACATTTCAATATATTGACATTTTTACTATTTACAGTTATAAGTTACGAAAAACGTGTCAATACATTGAAAAACCTTAAAACTATTTTTTATACAAGATTACCAGGACAATAAATCAGATGTTAGATACATAACCTATTACAAATAAATATAAATACATTGCATACATAAAGAATATATTTAGGGTGATACTGTACTTTGAATTTTACATTTAAATGTCTTTAACATACTGTTTCAATATGTGCGATTTTTTTAAGCTTAAAGAAGAAGTTTCATGATGAATTTCTATGTATTACACGAGTGTCGATTAGAAGAAAAATGATAATATCATTTATTATTTACGCCTTAATTGCTAGCGCGTTACTTCGTTCGATTGGTACGATTCTTTCTCCTGGTGCTGGTAGAGCGAGTCTTGGAGCAGTGACAGTGAGAATACCATCGGACGACAAACTCGGTTTAACGTGGCCGATATCGTATCCTTGTGGTAACACGTATCGGCGCACGAAATGTCTTGATACGTAACCATGTTGATCCTTTTTCTCTTCATGTTTACCCTCGATGGTAATAGATTTGTCGTCTGTTCTGACAGTGATTTCTTCTGGTGCGAATTGCTGTACATCGACAATCACTTGATATTTGTTTTCATCTCGTTCAACGGTGGTCGAACCTCCAACTTGATGTTCCAAATCTTCTATCATGTTCCTCCATGGCTGGAAGAAGTCCTTGAAGGATGGCATTGGTGGTAGTTTCCAAAAATCGTCTCTGGTGCTAAGACGTTTGAAGTGTTCTTCCAATTCTTGATGATAACGATCCATATCCCTCCACCAATTGCGGAAAAGATCTCTAGTTACCAGTGCCATATCGATGCGAATGATCTGCACAAGATAAATGCGTAATTTCTAACGTGTGGCCATCAGAATCAATTTCATTGAAAAAAAGTTGAAGATTATGAAGGTTAAAAATATTCAGTACAAAACAAACTTGGAAATTGAAAATAACGACGAATTTCGAATCAAACGTAACGTTGATATAAAAAAGATTAACATCGACGACGACGTTAGAATAGCATATACAAACGTAAATACTTCGTATTGTTCTATCAAGAAATAAAGCATTGCATGTCACGTCAAAAGTAAGTATGTATATACTTGCTGGAATACCGATCGAATTGCACCGTGTTTTTACGCATTTCAAGAATATCTATTCTTAGATACACGAAACATATCCATAATACGTTATATCAACGTTACGTTTGATTCCTGCAAATTACATTTTCTCTCTCTAAAGGTATTCACTTTTATTTTCTTCCGTTTTCTTTTTTCCGTAAGGATGGATAATGAATTATAAATACAATTTAAGACTATGGAAATAAGAATAAGGAAAACAAGTTTATGATAAAACGATCTAAAAATTACTTGAATTACTAGAAAACTTTGACGAGATTGAACAAAGTTAGAATACATACCTCTCGTTGGATATCCTTATTTTATAAACCACTCACAGGAAGAAATAATCGTTCGTTTTGTATAAAGTCGTTCGTTAGTAGCTCGGAACGTTCTACGAACCTTGCACTTCAAGTTGCAGTTTTTAACTGACTGCGCAATACTGCCGGCCGGGGTTTATATTTGATGTGGCGCGCTTTTCGAGATTTTTCGAACTGTGCATGCGCAGACGCAAACCGTTTCGAATTTTCTTGCGTCAAGTTTCTACTCGAATTTACTAGCAACCGTATCCTAGCCAATCAATGCTTATTCTTAGCACTAGACGGCTTCTCGTTTGTTCGAGTATTCTCTATTTTTTTCACGCAATTCAAAATACATCGTTTTACATTATGTTTTCTATATATTTTCCAATCCATGCATACTTATATTTTTACTTTTTATGCAAATTATATCTTCTGAATACGTTAGATAACGTGTATAACGTATTTAAGTATATTGTAATATTTTATTTTTTATGACAACTGAAATATTATAAAATATTTTGATTATTTTTATATTTAATGAGCATGTGTTAAAGTTATCTTAGAGTATAAATCATGATTTCTTCCAGAACATTCGATTACACGAAAGAATTTATTGCTGTATTTGTTTACAATATTTTTGAGATTTCCTATTTCAGTAACCATAGTAATCTTTACGAACTCTCATTCAGTAGTCATCAGGGATAAATTTAAGATCAATGATGCACCGATGTACGATGATGTAATATTTGCTATTCTAAAAATATTATTTAACGAGCAATTTTAATCGATGACGAATGAATTTGTTCCAGGATATTTTAGCATAGAGGCCAATTTCGAGAGAACGCAATAAGAAATTGAAAAATTAGCTACTGATTCATATAAGTAGAATAGGTACATACATATATTGAACGTTGATTTATGCGTTTGGCATTTCATCCAAAGATAGACATCGTTTCATAAATATGTTGACTGGATGGTAGCGATCTCTCTATAGTCTTACAAATACTCAATGCAGTAAACAATTGTAGAGTCGGTATAATAGGATACAATCTGTTCCTTTACCGTGGGCCGATATAATAGAATTCACCAATCATAAGCGCGAAAAATTTAAAAACTTTTTAATAAAATCACGTTCCTCAGACTAAACTAATAAACAATTCCAATAACTTTTTTACCGCAGAAAATATGAAAGACGAATAAGAACATTTAACAGATATAAAAATGATAATTATAACAAGGAGAAGATACAATAATAAATAAGGATTGATATTATTTTCATGTATTATTTTTTTCATTTGATATGTTTCATTTATTTAATAGCATTGTATTTATTTCTAAATGTAAATACCTACTTATCGTATATTTTATAATATTACTTATCCCATTATTATACGGAAATTTCTAATGGATATAACACTTTATACGGATTAAGTATTCCATTTGGATCCATCATCCGTTTCAATTCATGCATAAGTTTGATTTCAGAAGAAGTTCTACTCATATGTAGATATTTTGTCTTTGTGAATCCTATTCCATGTTCAGCACTTACGCTACCACGAAGACCAGACACGTATTCGAAAATGAAAGGTTGTAGTTGTGATGCTATGTCAGATTCGTACGACAATATTGAAATCTGCACGTGAATATTTCCATCACCTAATAGGTAGAAAACAAATAAAAGTATGATTTAACATTAAAGTCTTCAGCTGCTCGAACAAATTTTCAAGTCGTTCGTATATAAACCAATTAAAATGTTTAATAGGTAATTGTTCAGTCATATACCTAGATGTCCATATCCACTGATTCTTATGATGCGTGGATCGCGTAATCGTTCCCTAAGTACCTCTATCACCTTATAGAAAGACGGAAGGGGTATAGAAATATCGTATTTAAAGACATAACCTTCTCGTAATACTCCTTCGCTAATCCGTTCCCTTAGTGCCCATATATTCTAATTAAAAAAAAAATTATATTTTTTAGTTCTTATCAAAGAAATGAATCTTTTGTAAAAAAAAAAAGAGAGAGAAAAAAGAAATCCACCGTAAGTGCGTAAAGTCAAAATTATTGTCAAAAGTTTCAAAAGTTTAAAGAATATAAGAGAAAAAATTCACGCGTTACAAATCGAAAATGATGTTTAAAGTAAGAACGTAGTAAGAAAGCAAGAAGGAATAGTTTCAAGAAATTTCAAATAAAAAATATAATTACTAACTTTGACTTTGGTGGGGTCCGAAGTCAGAGTACCGTCTTCGATGATATCGTCGGCAAGCGCTTTCTCTACGAATGAGGTGAGCTTCTCCTCATCGTGACTCGCGTTGCTACCCGAAGTTTCCATCAACACGTAAAATTCGTGACCGTCGGTTCTCGATGTTAGTGGACTTTTTAGGCCAAAAGCTTCAATGGAAACGTCTAACGACAACTTGTCCATCATCTCGAACGACGACAGAATCTCTCCCAATTCTTTTTTCGCCAGACGAAACGCTTTCAACACTTTGTCGAAACTGTTTAGCCCTACAATGGACGATGAATTCTTACGTAGAAATACAGAGGACACTTCCGACAATCTGTAATACCTAAGAACGCGACATTGATGGCCGCAGGAAGCGGTGGACATTGAATGGCGACTTTCGTTACAATTCCCAAGGTTCCCTCCGACCCTACAAAAAGATGTTTCAAATGGTAGCCAGTGTTGTTCTTCTTCAGCGTATTCAAACAATCTACCACGTCCCCGTTCGCCTTCACCTAAAATAAAACGGCTGAACATAGGGACACTCGCGAGAAAATGTCGCGGTTCGTTTCTGGAAGCTTGGAAACTCACGGCTTCGAGACCCAGAATGTTTCCGTGAAGATTACCATAACGAAGAAGCCTCAAACCTCCTGCGTTCGTGGACACGCAGCCGCCGATCAGACAACTACCCTTGGCACCGAGATCAATCGGCATCATTAATCCTACTGTCGCTAAATGATTGTCCAAATCTTCGAGCACGCAACCGGCTTCACAGGTCAGCACCCCTAATGCGAAGAATCGCCAGATAAAAGAATCTTTCGCTTTCTCGAATTTTCTCATTTAGACAAGGCCGTTGCAACGTCGGTGACCTTGCCTTTTTGTCCGAAATCTCTGACTTTTCCCACTTTCCAATTTCGTACCCCGGAGTATTATCGGTTCGAATTATTTCGAATTTTTACCAACCTGCCAATTCGTTCGTCTCGATGATTTTATTCATAAGCTTCATAGAAATAACAATCTCGTCGAAGACCGGCACGCTACCACCTACTAGGCCCGTATTTCCGCTCTGGGGGCATACGGCTAACCGATTGTCGTTGCAAAACTTTAATATGGCAGATACTTCGTCGGTAGTTTTTGGTTTCAATACGAGTGTGCTCTTTCCTGTAAGTAATTCGTTTCAACGCCAAGCAATCTATTATCTGTCCGCGCTTACGTTGTTTTTCTGTTCGATGCACTATACTCGTCGATTCGCAAGCAAGACGCTGCAAAACTTATTTGCTACGATGCATGGAACGTCGTTACGACAGAGAGATATCTTACCACTTCGTACGAAGACGTAAATTCGATTTAAAATTCGTAAAAATTTATACAGCACAGTCCGAATGATCGACGAGGAGCGCTGTTTTCTCTTACCTCTGACGATCTTTGAGTAATCTATGTTGTATCCTTCGCATTCTTCTGCATCCGTAATGACCCTGTTTCGTCCGAGCAACTCATTGAAAAATGCCACGTGATCATTGGAAATGTTCGCGTACGGGCCTCTTTTCATTTTGTATCTGTCGCACGTGAACGCCGGTTTCGTAGAAAAAAATCGACATATCGAGATACGCCAGAGCGTCCTAAGCAGCGTTGGGGAATTCATATTCTGTAAAAGATTCACCTTGTCGATTCAAAGTAATTCGCATCGGTGTTACTGGCGTTTCTTTTATCATCTGCAAGGAGATCCGTTCGTTGCGAGCGCACGAATCTCTTCCGGTGTCGCGCCGGTCTACTATTTCCGGTGGCGTATTCCGTGATTAGCGACTCGATTGATCTCCGAGAGAAACGTTCGTGATAATTTAAACGTTCCTCTAATTTTTACTACGGAATTACATTTCAACCCATCGGCGATTGGATAAGTTTAGTGCAACGAGTATTTTTACTCGCCGCGGTTAAAGCTCGTGGATGGCAGAGTCTAATTGAAACAGGATATTTCCGTAACCCGGTCAAAAATTCAACCGATGAAAATATCCGCGGGAGGATCGAAGCGATATTTAAATGCTACAGTGCGATTAATTTCTGTGTTACGTTATATGAAGTATCAAGATACGATGCGTGAATCGTAGTTAGGTTTTTGTTTAACGCTTTTAAATGTTTAAATCAATACGAACGAATAAATTATAAAGTATGGTATATACTATTTGTTATAAGATGAAAAAACGTGTACACGAGCTAAGAAAAAGAAAATCGAAGAAAGGAACGGAAGGAAGAACGATAGGATGAAATTTCGTGATTCTCAAATGATATCGTGATAACATGGTAAAAACCAGGCGTGGCGTAATTACGGGCCCGGGGCTGCTTCCATTTTCTACGCGCTAATTCACCTCTGATGCTCAATCGACGGACATCGAATATTATAATCCACAATGAATGTTGATGGGTAACTCCCCTCCTTCTTACGCACTACCCCCTACCTGCCCCCAGTCAGTCAAGAGGATTCGCGGCGACGCGTGGTAGAATTACAATTGTGCGAAGCGGTGGGGAAAATAAGGTCAGGGGTAGAGGGGTCGAAAGAGCAAAGAGAGAATTCGATGGAAAAAGAGGACGAATCGACTGACAGAGATGCAAATCTGTTGAGATAAGAGGAAAGAGGAGAACACGAATCGGAGAGAGAGAAGCCAATAAGAGATTGGAGTGGGAAGGGGACCAATCGTCGCGATGACTAATACATTCTGCGTTTCGATGTACATGCATGAACTCGATTCGCTCGTGTATGCTTTGCTTGTAGCAAAGAATACGACACTCTTTCGCTTCGCATACATATACATACACGTATACATGATCGCGCAGCTGTGTACAGCAGAGGAATCAACACACAGAAACTCGACTACGAACACAAAGGAACGAAATGTACGTACGATATTCGGTGGGACATAGATGTAGTCGATATAGATGTAAGATATTGCTATATCGAAACGTACGATACGTAGCTACGGGTTTCTAAGGAAAGACGCATGCGCGACACCGCCAAGGAGTAAAGCTAATTTCTCAGTGGCGGCTCGAATCATTAACTTGTTACCTTGGCAACCCCGGTCGACCTAAACCATTGGCTGTCGCTTTCCCCCACTTTCCCTTTGCACGCTCTATCGGTCGAACAACAAACTACACACGCCGCCACACTCCTTCGTGGAATATTGTAATTTTCCTAACCTCGCGTGGACAGGAGTATAGACTGTCGCTGTTTCATTCGACCCACACAATCACGCTATCGGACATATACTGTTGTATGTATATGTCAGACATGCCACCGTAGGGACGCGGTTGCTGGGATTGGCGCGACCACGATTCTTCCTACCCTCTGCACGGAACATTCTACTGTCTCGCTCTTTGTCGAGATCCACGACCGGTATTAGAAGATGACCGATAAATCAGCTACGTTTAGCGCTTTATTATATGTACACCTTTTCTAACATTTTATATCGAATCACGATATTGGTTATTAACAATTCTTAACAATGCATATATGTATAGTAGCACGTACGTATATGTACGTATATAGAATCCCTCTTAATCATAGCACAAACAATATAGAAAAAAGAATACATTTGTAGGAAAAGTACATATTGGTGATGTTAGTTACATCGAAAGATAACGAAGCGCGGATGAATTAAATCTATAAATAATAGCAAATAAAATTTCAAACTTATAATTTACAATCGATACTAAACAAGAATCATCACACCATAATGTGTAGGATGTAGTAGTAAACCATTCAAGTCACAGTTTTAACAATTTAAACTAAATATAAAATAAGATAAATTTTATGTTTTCAAGTAAACTAGTATTTTATCTCGTAATTGAAAAATATAATTATAGTTTTTTGCGGAAAAGTATCGTCCCCATAAAGGCAAAAAAGTCAATGATATATAAAATCCCATTACAAGGTTTTGAACAGGACAGTATGAAGCTCAACTTAGAAACAGCTGTGCCAGGAACGTAGCGTATATTCGCGAAATTGGATCGAAAAGTACCAAAAATTGAAAAATTTACGAAAATTATTATTTATACGAATGTAATAGTCTAGTTTCAATAAATAGTCATATAAAATTCAATTCTGAACGTATACATCCATACACATAGCTATACGAACACGCACACGCATATACGCTTTTTTTATTTTGTATTATTTATGCATTTTAAAAACTTTATTCACTTTCAAAATCTATCTTTCTATAATTAATTATACCGAATTATTATGTGGCCACTATGGATTACTTAGAAATAATTCTAATTGATAATCGGTTATAAAACTACTTATTTTCCTTAAACAATTCGTTAGGGTATCACGGTTGACGATTTTATATATATTATTATGTATGTTCATTGTACATATAAAAACAAGATAACAATTGTATTAAAAGATGAAATTATATTGTAACGCTGATATATGCATTAACAACGTAATAAACAATGTCGAGTACGATACGTGCTTTTATAATAAATAAATTACATTAGAAATATTCAATCTTAAAGAAATATGCAGTACATATATAAAAAGGTAACATAAATATTAATGAAAAAGATTTTTACTTTTCACACGTTCAAATATATAATAGAGTTATGTAGAAATATTACAAAGTATGTATAATATTCATGAATAATATAGAATTTTAATACAGGTAGACTAAAAAAGATAAAGTCCAATAATATAATGAAATGCAACGGGGAATTATGTGACTAGATTCGTTCCTGATGGTATCGTGAAGTTATACTGCGAAATATTCTGCAGACTATAATCACGTATACATGCAGCAGACGGGTAGTAATTGTATTAGTGAAGAGTGTACAAGTATGTGAAGTAAGAGTATGAGTACCGTTACGGGGCATGCGCCTCCAGCCACCATATCCAATGGCCCCGCCTTTCACGGTGCAAACGATGCCTTTGGGATTTGTCCTCGCTGGACCAATGAGCGAACGAGTTTGTCATACGCGACGGGAGAGGTGAGGTTGTAGGAAACGAAGTGGTGGGAAGCAGACAGGAAGAAGGGTAGGGGGGGAGAGAGAGATTTGAGAGAAGCGAGGGGTTCCGCAGATCGTGTGGGAGCAGGGAAGCAGACAACGAATACGACGATTGCTTACGAAACCTCGCGACGTCAACGTATAACAAAACTTTGTTTAAAATACTCACAGTGCTTTTTAAAAACCTATGAAACACAGACGTGTATGATTGAAAATTTGGTCAAGTTAACAGTGGAATCGTGAGGTGACAGTGTCTACGGCGTGTTCGAAAACGTGATAGGTGTGACTGCGCAGTCGCCATGTGAGTACCTGAACAAGTATCTGAAACTCCATGTTATACCGTGTATTTTGGATCTTTAATATTTCTTTGTTATATATTGTTGATATATCGATAATAATCACACTATATTCTACATAACATTTCATGATAACCGACAAATATAACAAATACACAACACAGAACACACTGCATTATATCCCGCCGGATCTTCGAACGTGCTTTATTTTGTAATCCAATATGTCGGCGTTAGGGACGCTGTTCGGTATTCACCGAGATACAATTCCTCTACCGCGCGTATTATAATTTTTTGATAAATTACCGCTGCATAGATAGTTTCTGAAGAACCGTGTGTGTTGTTATTCTCATTATCGTCGATATTACCATTATGGCGAAATCCATGTTGTCAACCGCCCCCTGGTACGGTCGCTTCTCCCCTTCTCTTATTTTTCTTTCCCCCTTCCTCCTACTTCTCCCTTCAACCCCACTTTCAATCGTATTTCCCGCTCAGTGAGATGTATTCCCTCTTTCTCTCTAAACCCCTCATCATACTACTAATTATGGTGCTAGTAAGACGACATTTTGTTCGTTCTATCCAAAACTCAAGATGGATCATGTGTTTTCAGTTCATCGATACTTTGAACTCATGCATGAATACAGATTTCTTCTTTACCATCTGATCATCGTGTCTCAACTGTTTTCATCCTTCCGATGTACATATTTCTTTAGATACATACCATATATATTATTTCTTTATTAAATTAATTTATCAAACATTTTGTATACTACCAAACTTTATGTCATAGTGCCACACAAATATTTCTAACCTGATATATTTTTATAATGTTTAATATAATTAAGGTTACTAATTATTTGAATAGTCAATCTCATACAAGTAATTGACAACTATCCCAAAATTATTGCAATTTATCGGAATTTATATTTATATACTATGCACATGGAAAACTTCAAAAAGTATACAAAATTATAGCTTATATGAATCGTGAACTGCACTATGTTCACGATTAATTTAAGTACTTTTTCCATCTTATGTTTACATTTCAATGTGTATTGTAATTATTATTCTAATTCATGCAATGAGTAATATGATGATTTTTTATAATGATTGTTGTTATGTTTAGTACCTTGTATATTCTATGTATGATCACTTATTTGAGGTTATTTCTCATATTCTAAATATTGAACATTATACGTATTTTATAATAAAATAAGTAATACTATGTATTATATATCAAATAAGTTAATAAATTGATATAACGGTATATTTTGTTTATCACGAATTTCATATTTTCATATACAATTACATTAAATATTATGAACTAATTTTTACGTACATTGGTACTAAACGAAATGACTTTTTATGTTACAAGTATGCTACAGTTAATTCTTTATTATAAAACACTTACATTTAAAGTAATATTTGCCACTTCATTCACCTTCACACTTTATTATTGATATTTCACGTCGTAATAAACGAAGAAGAGAAACCAAATTTGAACGCTCCACATTTCACGTGTATCAAGTTATCAAGGTTATGAGCAATAAACATTGCGTAATTATTTTAGATATCTTTACACTAAATATGTTGCAATTAACGTTTCAGTATATTAATTGATAAAAGATTTATATTATGTATAGCTAATGGTTCTTCATTTCTAAAAATTTATAAAAAATTTATATCAACTTTTTAGTTAAAATTATTATAAAATCTATGCTCTAATAAATATTTGTTTGAGAGTGAGAGAAAATGAATGAGAAAAAGAGGGGGGATTATATTAAGTAGAACTGTAAATAAATTACATAAAATGTAAATAATTGTTATTTTCAATATATAGTCGTAATCTACTTTATACTTATAAACCTATCTATGTGAAAAATATTAATCTAAAACAATTTTTCTTTTAGGTGCAGCAAATTAAAAAGATTAAAAGTGACATTTTAATAAGAAATCTATGTAAAATGGCAAGGAAAAAAAACATTGAATTGTTAAGAATATAAGAGCAGGAAGAGTACTTCTTGAAGGAAGTTTATTTAAAAAGGTATAAGGAAACATGACAGATGTTAAACCAATTGGAATTTCTCAAAATCAGCCACAACAAACACAACAACAGTCACAGCAGCAGCAACAGACACAGCAACAACAGCAACAGCAGCAACCACAACAACAACAATCTCAACCACAGCAAATGATGATTGCAACCCATGATATTCAACAACAGCAAAATGTACAGCAGCAACAGCAGCATGTTCAGCAACAACAATCTCAGCCACAACAAGTACAGCAGCAAGCGCAACAACAAGTACAATCTCAACAAGTTCAACCACAACAACAAATTCAACAGCAAGTGCAATCACAGCAGCAAATGCAAGTGCAGCAGCAGGTACAGCAACAAGTGCAACAGCAAGTACAACAACAGCAACAGCAACAGCAACCTCAACAACAACAATCTAATAGTGGACCACATAACGTTGTTCCTACTCAAGTGCAGGTACAGCCACAGGTAGCAGCAATTATGCCCCAGCAACAGGTAAAAATTTGCACAAAGGCATATTATTGAGACAGCTTTAAGCAGTAGATTTAAAATTTTTCATCTTTGAAAATAAAATATTTCAGGGTGCTGTTGCAGTGTCAATGCAGCATCAGCAACAGGGTGTTGGAGGTGTATCTATGACTTTATCTGGTCAACAAGGAGGAACGACTATAACTACTATGGCTGCGCATCCACAAGCAGTACAAGTTATTCAACAACCTATGCAGAACCAAGCATATCATTTGCAACAACTTTATAACACCCAAGGAACGCCACTATTGATGCCAGGAAATTTAGCTCTCCATCCTGCAGGCATCAATCCTTCGTCCATACAGGTACTTAAATACAATCCTGATGTTCACTATTATTGAGGCATATAAGTTCCTTTCTAAGTAGGATACTTTACAGGTCATAACAGCTGGAAAGCCATTTCAATCTGCTGCTCAATTAACACCTCATATGCTAACGACAGCATCGACACCAGGTCAAGGAGGTGGTCATCCTGCAGCTGGAGGAACTAAAGTTCAAGGGTTCCCTACAGGTTACTTACCAGTACCTACTTCAGCTACACCTGGTGCAGGACAAACTCTGGTATTTGGTCAACTTGGTGTACTGGGTTCTCCACAACCACCTCCATCTATACAACAACAACAGCAGCAGCAGTCTGCAAACAAACAAGATCAAGTACAAAAGGTATTATTATGTTAATTTTATTTTGTAACAAATATTCTATATTTAGCTCATATTTTATATATATTGTTTTCAAAATGTGTAGTATACTACGTGTACAGCGGCTACTCCGTCCGGCGGACGAGGTGGTATGCAATTTGCTCCTTGGCAATTTACACCACAAGTTGCTTGGACTGGAATACAACCACCGGCGCTTCTAACTAATCAAATATTCATTAGAGGTCCTACTCAACCTGATATGTTTATACAAAGTCCACAACCAATCCAAGCTCATAATGGTTAGTTATGAATGATTAAATAAATTTTGTATTGTCAACTGAACTAATTTATCATCATCATATTTGATCAGCACTAGCTACGCAACAACAAATTCAGGGAGTACAACAAATTGCTGCAGCTAGTGGAAAACCAAAGGTAATGGATATACAACAACAACAACAGCAACAAAGTAAGCAAAGTTCAGGTGGACAACGACCTTTGAGTATTTTACCGTCCTCTTTACAAGCAGTACAAGCTGCTAACATACGAGCTGCCAGTTCTGTTTCAACGCAAACTGTTCATGGAGTACAAACTACGGTACATGTACAGGTTACTATAATTAACAGCAACAGTTAGAAAAATGATTTCGACTGCTGCAATTTTCGAATCACGTGCAAACATATAGAAGTTTTTTTTCTGTTTTCGTATAATGAAGAAGAAGTTTTTTTTTATGTTTTATAACTCAGAGTGGCAAAGGAAGCGGTAGTAGCGGTAAAGGCCGTGGTAAGCCATTGCAATCGCCGCAACAACCGCAACAGCAGTCACAGCAAACGATGCAACAACAACATCAACAGGTTTTTATTCAACAGAAACAGCATACGCAGCAGCAACAGCAGATGCAGCAACAGTATCAACAGCCGCAAGTGCAGCCATCGCCACAGCAAATACAACCAAAACCAATAATGAGTGAGATGACGTTTCATATACATACTATTTATAGAAAAATGATATAGGTTTTTGTATATCTAATCGTTACCTTTTTTACAGCAAATATGGCTCTGCAACAACAACAACAACCAGGTGTAGTCCTTAGTGGGGAACGTCCTATTATGCCTGTAGTTTCGGTGAGCGGAGTTGGTGTTGCTACATCTCAAATGAGTCAAGTACAACAATCTCCCATGTCTGCTGTACAACAATTACCATTACAAGTATTAAATGTTTTATTTCCTGCAATAAAATTTCCTTAATTTAATTAAAAAATATTTCCATTATATGTAATGTAATTTTTCTAGGCAATCAATTCGACAATAATTGGTAGTCAAATAGTTAGTGGAACAACACAGGTTCAAACGATGTCTATGATAAATCAGTCGACGGATCAACAAACACATGATAATAATAATTCCGCAATAATGATTGCATCACCCGATCGTAATCACCAAGCTGAATGTTCTTTAGCATTACCATCTGCTGCAAATACTCCTACAGCAAATGAAGAGAATTCTAAATCAATATTGAAAAAGGACGATCCAATTCCAATAGAAGAAGTGACCGTATCTCAGCCAGAAACGACAGGTTTATTGATAATATATACTACATTGACATTCAATAAATGTGTATGTATGTATATATTTTGTATAAGCATTTGCATCTCATTACTGTCATAGATGGGGACCAATCTAAGATAACTTTAAAAGATGAAGAAAATTTGTCGGTAAAGTTAGAAGAAAAATCATGTAGTAATCCTTTAGCAGGATTAGCAAATACGATTAATTCTATTACGAATGGTATCAACAATGAAGACTCAGCGGCAATTCCTGCTTCTGTATCAGTTAGCGCAAATAGTAAACATGTACCACCAAAGGCAATGGTCAAACCACAAGTTCTTACACATGTAATTGAAGGCTTTGTTATTCAAGAAGGTACAAGCTTAATATTTTATATAGATGTTATTGCATTATTAATAGATATCGTTATATTACTTTATATTTATATTATTGATATGTATATGAATATTTCAGCTTCTGAACCATTCGCTGTTAATCGAACGTCATTGAATAATACAGTTAATCAAGAAGCAGGTAATATTTTAAACCGCAGTACTAATTCATCATCTGAAAGAGATAGTCATGAAGAACCTCCAAGTAAGACTTAAAAATTCAGTATTTTTTTAATATGTGTGTATCTTTTTGCTGTAAGATATAAAATGAATCATATGTGTTTATTGTGTATGGCAGGGAAAAAACATGCACCCAATTATCCAAATGACGAAGATGTAAATAATGTTCAAATGGGGAAATGCGAAGCTTGTGGTAATTTGGTAGATGAACAAAATACTAAATTCAAAAAAGAGAAACGGTTCTGTTCCTCTAGTTGTGCAAAAAGGTTGGTAAATAAATTATTTCGTAAGTTAGTTATTAGACTTGCAGAAAAATGTAATATAAATTTTGAATCAAATAGCAAAAAGCGGGAAGCAAGAGATCGTGACGGTACTGAAAAACAATGGACTGAGATAGAGACTGAATCAAAAACCGATGGAGATATAAAAAAGAACGGAGAAGAAAAGTCATTATCTAGTACAACTACTAGTTCTTCCGTTGATGAAACACTGCCGAAAGTTAATCCTGTGAAGTGGACGGTATAGATATATATATATACATAAATTTATTAAAAATGAAGAAAACTGATATAATTGAAAACGCCTGCTTTTTTTTATAGGTTGGAGAAGTATGCGATTTTATACGCGGATTACCAGGGTGTGCTGATTACGCGGAAGATTTTGCTATTCAAGAAATAGATGGTCAAGCACTAATGTTACTCAAAGAAGATCACCTTATGTCGGCCATGAGTATAAAGTTGGGTCCTGCATTGAAAATCGTAGCCAGAATTGATTCAATGCGTGTGGAGTCGTCAAATTCTAATCCTACAACTAATAGTTCGTAAATGTTTATTGTTTAAGATTTCTACTCGCAGAATTTCAAATTGCAGCCTATGGGCTACAGGGTTTGTGCAAGTATTTGATCGAATCATAGAATTAAGATTTAAAATTATTAAGGTTCAGTACTTTCAATTCTACACTTATGATTTAAAGATCGATCTATGTAAGACTAAGTTCCGTATTATTTTGTTGCTGTATACAAAATAACAATATTAATATTTTAAATTTGGTGTACTATATTGTCGACATATATATACAAATCCACTTTAAAGGGTAAGTCTTACACTGATTGATTTTTATAAATGTAAATAGCATTCAGTTATTGTAACTTTTCTTTGAAATTGAAATGTATGTATATCTGCTTTGGAAAATTTTTCTAAAATATTGCTGTTTAACTAGTATGATCAAGAAACTGAGTACAAATTATGTCTATTACACAAAAAAAAGATAAAACGTTGTATATAAAGTATCCGGCGTATGTGCGATGTATTTTGTACTCGAAAATTCCTTTTGGAAGCTGTATAAAAACTATTGCCTTCTGTAAGACTTACAATAATCTCGAAAAATATCTGGCACTCTTAAAACGGTTAAGCTTTGTGATGAATAGCAATTTCCATACATAACAATTTTAAATTGAGGTACAAAGTATTTGAAATAATGCGATAACACCTTTGACTATGTTTTACTTTGTAAATGTTTCATGTGCACTCGACTTACATACGTGTAAATATTAAACAAAATGTTTATTTAATATACAAATTTTATAACATAAAAATATTTTATAGTTGTTAACACTAGTTGTCCTTCCATTTAGAACTAGATATTAATTTAGATACAATACACTCTAAATGCAAGAAAAATATATTTTAATTTATAAAATATGTGATGTTGATCAAGAAATAAGCCAAATTGTATAATATCTTATAACTGTGAAGCATACTCAACAAAATGAAACGAGTATGAATGTATTATATCATTATTCAACATTTGCAATTGCCAACAATGTGAATATAATAGTAATTGTCTAAATGTTTATTAAGTAGATTTATTAATTTTGTATTTAGTAACACAGAGATCAGTATATAATTATAAAAGAATGTATTTCAAAATTAATATTTTAACAAGGAAAATATTTGCATTTACGAAATGCATAGTATTTTCATATTACAATCTATATTTAATTTTTAATAATACCTTATTAATAGCGATAAAAATCAAGCATTACAAATTTTATCCGTAACAAGTAATTAGACAAAGATATAGTATATGCAAAAATAAAATACAAAACGCATTTGTTAATTCAAGATTTCTCAGGGTATAGTCTTATTATATATCTTTTTATATTGATTTGAATGGCACCTGAGTAACAGATGTGCACAATTGTGATGACATTTAAATAAATTAGAGCTCTAAAAATATTATGAATTAAAGCCTATGCACAAGTGTACTTTTTCCCCTATATTTTAACAAATATTTCATGCACCACCTATGCATATTTTAAATTTTCTAAATATGACAATGACTTCTAAAATATATAAAATAAATTCAATATTAGTGAATGAAAATAATTCTAAACATTTTATTTAAATTAGTATTTTATTACGATCTGCATACATATTCTAATTTAATTTCTTACTTTAATTAACAGCTGCTACATATTTTCCTTCTTCTAATAATTCTTCATCTTTCTTCATTTGCATTTCTTGTAGCGCTGGTCGAATATATCGATAATAACAAAACCCTTTATACACTAAAGCTATTCCAGAAACTACTGTTAAACCCATCAATACCGTTACAGTTCCTCTGTGAAGTTTATCTAAGATATAACTCCTTTTCGCATATTTTGGCAACATTTTTTATGGATATTTTTGTCTGTATCAACAGTTTTTAAAATATATAAACCTGGAAAATATATAATTACTATTACAAATCGTGTAACTGAGAAACGTAATAAAATGTATTTCAATTTATATTATTAATTACGTAATTTGTTACAAGCACCTATTCTATACGAAAGTAAATAAGATAACAGTATATTATAGAGTTAAAATGGTTTTGACTTTTATCTTTTTTCTGAAGATTAAGCTTTTTATATATAAGGTTAGGAACACGTTTGGTACTCTCTGCTCAAATAAATGCTAAGGCTAATACACACACATTCGATCTGAGACGTGAATCTAACGCGTTGAAAAATAAACGAACCTATAATTATGTAATCTTTTTGTCAATCAAATGAGGTAATAACTTGAATATTGATGAATTTGATATATTTCTATATTTCGTATTTCATAACATTTAAATAAAGAATATAAAAATCATTTCTAAAAGTTACTATTTAATTCTTGTACAATTTATATAGATTTTTACATAATTGTGTATTACACTTTTATAATATATTTAATAATTAATTTATAATATATTTTATAATTGTTTATTGTATTTTTATATTTTAAGACACTTAAATAGATTTTAACAGAATTATTTTCTTAATAAAGTAAAAGGGTTAGTTTTTTAAAAATTCATTAAATATTGTTGGATCTACATCCAAAACTATCTCATCCAATGAAGGCCCTTGTTGTGTCACTGGCAATTCTAAAATAAAAATAAACTTCACAAAACTGACTTTAAAATTAAGTTAAATTTGCATCCTTGAAATATATTAAAACGCACTTGATATGGATCCTGTTGCTTTGTATTCCCTAAGCTCTTCTTTAAAAGCTTCATCAAATGTTTCTCGTCTTTCTTTCATCATTTTCTGCTGTTTAAGTTCATATTTTGATACTCTCTCAATATGTTCATCAGCCAATTTTGCTAAAATTTACATTCAGTTTCAGCATTTTTATAATTAGCACATTTTAAATATTATACAAACTACCTTTAATAACATTTAATTCTGCAAGTTTTTTCTCCTTATATAAGGCTAATTGAAATCTATGATCCAATTGTCTACTTTGCAAATCTAACATTTCATTTAAATTTTCTAATTGATATATAGCACCTTCTACCTCCTCAAACATTTCTTGTAATGTTCCTTTAATAACATGAAGTATTTATGATTAATTTTTATACTCATAGTATTCTTGAATTAGAAATGCATTTAAGATAGAAGTACCTATTTGATCCATAAGATCCTGTATTGCATTGTTGATTTTTGGAATGTAAGCTAAAGTACTATTTAGACACGTAATGTTTTTCCATTCTTGTTCGAGTTTTTCATAAATAGTTCCAATGAGTTTATCAGCTTCTTGAGCTTTACCCGCATTTTCTTCTGCTAGCTCATGTAGTTCATTCCATTGTAATTGAAATCTATGTAAGATATCAGCTCCTGCATTGTAATTAACATTTCTGATGTTGCCAGTCTTTTTTTGTTTTGGATTTTCAACAACAGTTAATCCTCTAATACTAAAACAACAAAGTTAATCCTAGACTTATATAAAATACATAGTAAATTATCTTTAACTTTAGTTTTTATTTGTATAAGATTAAAATTAAATCTTTTACCTAGCAGATATACCCTCTTGAACTGTTTGAAACTTGTTACGCAAAGTGCTAAACATGTTTATAAATTATTTTATTTTATATTTATGATTATAATGGTATATATAATTCAAGCCTTTCAAATTAGTTAATACTATTGCACAAATTACTAATAAGATTTAATTTATTATATTATATTTTCTATATGTAAAGTGTATTATTAAATGTATCATTATCATATGAAATAATTTTTTTGTTGACACATGTATTATCAATGATGAAAATTGTTCATACCGAGCTGATTTTCATAGTTTATATCAAATTGATCACTTGTTTGCATTGAAATACTGATATAAGATAACACATATTAGTTCACAATATTTATAATGAAAAGTTATTGTAAATATTAGCAGCGTCAATATAACCTCTATTTTGAAGACACTAATAGTAGCCTATTTATTTTCATTCATGCAGTATTGCATGTAGAAACCTCCAAAATCAATTGTTAATGACAACTTAAAACATTTGAAATTATAATTCGAATATTAATTTTAAACATAATAAATATAAAATTAGTTAAATTACGCATAATTTAATAAAACATTCATTATTCAAAATATCATTTATGATTTTTACTTAATCCAAACATATAATTAGCTTATGTACATATGTTTTAATTTCAATCCATTTTTTCATATTTTGTGAAAGATATGACACTGTGCAACCTTTCTGTTAGTTGGCAACACTGATAACGACAGTCCATGCACACATACATATGTACATTTAATTAAAAATAATTACTTTTTATGTTGTAATTGTTAAAATGTTTTAAACTACAAATAATAGTATTGTAAATTTCTAAAATACATAAAATAATAATTTTTTATATATTGCATGTTAATACATAATATTCTATTAACATTATGTGCGTTCGATTTATAAAAGATATAATTTTACATTTACAAATTTTGTTTTACATGTTAAGTAATAAAAATGTTAACTATTTATATTCATATGGATTCAATATTATACTATGCTGCATTATAAGGATAATTGTATACTAAGCACGAATGAATAATTTTTGTTACGTTTATGACGAATTCGTGATTTTTACTGCATAAACAATTTAGTGCATTAGATTTTGACTATATATTTTCAACATGAAACAATTTGGCAACATCGTTAAAGCTTAACTCCTTCCCTTTGACAATATGACTGGTGCCTAGCAACCAGTGAGGTCAACAAACGAGGTCAAATTGCAAATTACCTGTGTAAGAAAAATCAGTATATAAATCTAATGAAATAATACATTAAATTACTTTTAGGTAATTATAAGGGGTATTAATTGAACAGAAAGTAGAGACGATACAATTCATTACTACTAACATTAAGATGAAATTATAGACAGTTAATATATTAACCTAAATTTATGACAAATATTTCAGTTCAAAAAAAATCTCCTTATTAAGAAATATTATTATTATGTTCTTTTTTATATACTATATGTTATATTACTTTACTACAGGTGTAAATCGTATTAAAATACAACAATTTTAGAAGGGTGGTATTTATGTATGTACGTACATAGTACTTACAAATATTTTATGTTTCTAGTTTCAGTTAGAATAATTAATAACTAATTGTCATGCAATATAAATTTGGATGGTTGAAAATAAGAAAAAAGAAAGTTATGTGTTAGTGGAGTCTACAAGTAAAATAATTCTTATGAAGATACATGGCAGAACCGTAGAACTATGTATGTATGTATATGTTGGTATTCCCTGTGTTGCCAAGTTTTCCTCTACCTGCGTGTTCAATTCTGAAATGTTTTGTATGGTGATGTATATACACAATGACAAAATCGATAGTGATGAATTTCTAAAACAAAAAATTGTATTTTTGTAAACTTTATTCTATTTCAAACTTTATAAGTGCTATCTCAAACTTTATAAATGCTATTTCAAATTTTAATATGAACATTTTACTTACATTGAATTAATTATTTTTCTGCTTATATCTTTTGTTTATTTATAAAAATGTGTCATAATAAGATGAAAAAATATAATATGCTTTAAACTATTTAAATGTTTATTTTATTTTAAAGTTAGAGGTTTTTCCATTAATAACCTTGAACAAGTTGGAGCAGTCCTGTTAAGCAGAGCCTTCATTGAAATCTTTATCTTTTTCTATCCCTGCTACGCACGCAATGAGCATAACTTGAACAAACCTTACCAGAGAAGGTTCGAGCTTAGAAAGTTGTGCGCAACTCGCAGTGAAACCAGATTTGTGGGAGGAGATGCTGGAGAGGGAGGAGTAGTCAGGGATGTTGGGTCAACGTACGTATCCAAGTATCCCCTTTCTCCTTGCATCAAGTTAGACCACTACTATATCGTGGTGAACTCGTCTTCTCCATAAAGACGATTACCTTTCTGCGCATACTATCATGACTACGGCGCATACTATGTACTAGGAGTTACCAACTAAAGGACGAGAAGTTCGTGGTAGGGATGAAATCAATAGTCAAGTATTCCGCGGAATGAGAATGTCAACTTATATTTAACCATTCAACTGCTTGCTTGAGTTTTATTCATCGTAAACAAAGCAGCAAAAATAGTTGAGAGTGAACCGCTAATGTAACAGCAACTATTCTTATTTTTTGAGATAAAATACACATTAAAGATAGTGTACAACTGTATAAACAACGATTCATGAATGTAATTCCTGACTATTTCGAGGTCGCATTACTCAACATAGATACGAATGTATCACAAAAAATTAATGCCAAAGACTATTAAGTAGATATAAAAATCTATAAAGTCGCAATCATTTAATGCTCATAATAGAATAATATGGAATTCTATTCGAATTAAATATAGAATTTTAAGCTCGAGTTGTTTGAGTATCTGTAGAAAACTGTACAGAACCTACTACGATCAATAGATGCCAGATTCGGTCGTTTTCGACATGTTCCGTTAAGTTCCCCTACTATATTCATTCCTGTTGGCCTCCAACCATTTCTGCCACGCCTTGTTCACATGTATTTTCCCGGCAAAACCGGTTATTTCAGGCATTCTTCTTGGTTCACGCTTTTCCATAGAAAAACTACACGTAAAAACGTTTCCCTACCATCACATCAATATTAAACCTTGACTTTCCATTTGATCGAAGAAGACAAATTTGAAATTTGAAACATACGATATGCATATATAATATCAGATGGTAGTGTACGACATATACAAAATGTATAGACACATAAAGTATGTTTAAAAACATTAAATTGTTTTTATATACTGTGTACATCTGTAGTAAATTACAACCATACTTTAAAGTAGTAAGACGTGCACGAATAAATTTAAGTACACATATTCTTACGTAATATATGTTTAAATTGTATAATTTTAATATAAAAAGTCGTAGTAATAACATTGATACGATTTTCCTGAAACCAACAAAAATCAATAATCACCAGAAATTGTGGATGAAAACTGTCATCGCTACACTACAGAATTTAGGCACAATGGTTGATGGATAGTAATTGGAAGTTAACGTTGACGAGAATTTGCTGGAGAATGGTATGGATTAAGAAGGGACAGCGTGGAACATTGAAAGGATAACAGACGGAGACAGTAGAAGTTAGAAAGAGAGAAATAACAAAAAAGAGAAAATAAGAGAATCAGTTAATGAAAAAGGAAGGGAAAGAGATGGCCTGTTAGTAGGAATTGAGAGGAAAAGTAGGGAGGGGTAGAAAATGGGAGAGAAGAAAAGAGTTTCACAGTGATGTTCGAGTTGCGCTTGCGTCGACAATACTTGCTATGAACGGATTGGCTCCCTACTCATACTTGAGTGCATGTTAGGTTGACTTAATTTCAATTCGGGCTCCTCTGCTTCTCCCTACCATTTTCAGTTCCACCATATATTTCGGTTGGTTTCTTTTGTTTTATTGGGTTTTACACAAAGGGCGTACAAGATGTTGCAATACACGCTTACTTTATATATCTTGAATAAGTAGAGATATGAAAGGGAATGAGTCTTTTTTATCTTTGATAAGGAAGATATGACAGTGTGGAGGTAAAAATATCAAGAAAGAGAAGAGAAGAGAAAAGGGGAAAGGCATAGGGAGAGAGGAGAGGAAGTGGATAAAGGTGGTGGTTGGTGTGCAGTGGAGGAGAAGTTAGATACACAAAGATACGAAACGTCAAGAGGAGAAGAGAGGAAAGGAGAGGAGAAGAGAGGAGAGGGAAGCGCTCAGCGTTTGCAGCGATCGGCGCACGCTACCCCGCGCGCGCGCGCGCGTGTTCTTACAAAACAACGCATCTGAACACTCTGAACCCGTCGCTGAACGCGCTTCAACAGTTCGGCACGAATTCACATTGAGTTGATTATTCTGACGGACGCGCGGATTTCATCGCGTC